GCCAGAAGTTTTTTGGGGGTCGCCAAATATTTATGAAATGCATTATGCCTGCATGCTACATACCATACAGTGTACATATAAAGAGTGAAGTGCCGTCACTCACTGTTTAATTGCAATTTCATGCAGAAGATTCAAGGATTTTCCTGAAAACGATCTTGGTTGGATTCGTGATCCATTTTCCTACGACATATGCAGTTCAACTCTTCAAATTAGTGAGAAAGAGCAATTGATAGATTTAATTAGTGATTATACTCTTCGAAATCAATTTAAGACTCAGCCTTGCCAAAAATTTTGGCTATCCGTGGAAAAGCAATATCCCGTTTTATGCAAGAATGCCATCAGGGTTTTAATACAATTTGCATCAACGTATTTATGTGAAACTGGATTTAGCAAACTAGTTTCAATAAAAACTAAATACCGCTCGCGTTTAAACCCTGAAGATGATATGCGAATTGCAATTAGCAACATACATCCAAACATCGATGAGATAATTAGAAACTTGCAGCCACATACATCTCATTAAAGGGCAATTTACTGATTTTTATGTTATACAAAAAGTATTTTCTTAAAATTATAAATAAAATTAATATGAGTCGGATATGATGATGTTTTTATTCGATGAAACGAAAGAAATGCGTGAAATATACATCATATTTGTGAACATTTATCTCTAGGGGATTGCCAAAAATTTTCTTTTTACAAAAGGGGTCGCAGTCGAAAAAAGTTTGCGCACCATGGATTTATTGTATACTACTTGGACTTTGTGATGTTATTTTTTGTAGATAATATAATAATTGTTATAAGACATTGATCTTATTAAACATATATATAAAATATATATGTATTCATATATTTTAGTTTAAAAGAATATAAAAAAAATATACATACTTTATTAACAGTGATAAGTCTTACATCTCTATATTGTGAATACTTTTCCAAAATCTGTTTTAAAAAGTGTAAAAATATTTTGAAATATAATTATTCAGCAATTTTTTTTATATATATATTTAAAATAAATATACTAACTTCATTATTTGGACATAGTGGAAATTGTGTTAATGGTTTAACTGCCATTTCTTCAAGAGCATTCTTTCTTCTATTAAAAAATAAATATCAAAATTTTCAATAGTAAATTATAAAATAATTTAAATTTATGTCAAAGATGAAAATAACAAACCTGAGTAATACTATTTTATAAGATGATCCAGTTATTCCTTTAATCATTGCAGAAGCATTTAAATGGCAACGACCATACATGACAATACCATTTACCTAAAATGAGAAAACATCATGATGAAAGTGTAAAATTATTGTTAAAACATTTTATAATCAGATTCATTGCAGCATTTTTCTCATATCAACAATTATTTATCCTTTTTCTTTTCTTGAATTAATTTATTTGTTATTGCAGTTCTCTTAAGTTAAAACATTTCAATAATTTTTACCATAGTTTATGGGATAAGGCAATGTAATACAAAAGGAATCTGCAAGAGAATGCCTTCTGGAATGGCTTACTACAAGAAACTGTCCCCCATTTAGATGTTATATACATAAAGAAAATACGAAAAAAACCAGGCTGTCAGCTTGTTGATCAGATGTGAACCTAAGACCAACTACCATTTTTAACTTTTCTTATCTATTTGGCCACTGGTGAGCCTAATTTTTGTCATCTCAAAGTATAAACAAGCAATTATCAAATTATTATTATTTCTTTGACTGACTATCAAGAATAAATTCTTTAATTGCAATACAGAACCAAGAAATATATGTCATAAATATCACATTTATTTGGACACTTAACGTCTTATTTAATTATTAAATAAGATGTTAAGTGTCCATTATTTAATGCATGTTATTTAAAGAAAAGTTACCAAAAAATTTATTTACAAAATGTTTTATTACAATAAAAATAAACTTCACAAAACACAAATAATAAATATAATATAAAAAAAAACAAATACATTCAAAACTACATATAGCTTAAAACATAATGCAGAAGCTGCTATTGACTGCCCAATATATGTGATCAAATTAAAGGATAAGAAGAAAATTTCAAGTAACTGAATATAAACAACAAACATTCAATTAAATAGTAAACTATAGTAATAAATGTTAACTACATTGGTTCTATTCCCAACTAAGTTGTTGTAGGAATATAAATAACTCTTCATTATGTATGAGAATAAGTTTTTAGATTATGTTTAGAGCAAATATTGAACTATAAAAGCAATTTTTTAATTTCTATGATTCATTCTTACAAAGGAAATTTTAAAAACTTTTAAATTGAACTAATGAGTGGATTTGAACAAAAATTAAGAGTTAGATGAAATACAAAAATAAACATAAGTTTAATGATAATTACAGCTATTACTAGATTGCAATTTAACATTGTCAGTTATAGAGGAAAAAAACTGTAATTAAAAAAATTTTAAAGAAAAAAAAAAAATTCAAGTGAAAATCAAATACTGTATTGGATGAGAACTATACCAATGTAAAAGAGTAATCTTTACAGTTATAAACAAGATATATTTTTAGTACAAATGTAATAGAATTCATGACAACTATAGTTGCCAACAGACTGCAGCCAATAATTGTATATAAAAAAAAATTTGTATTAAAAAACTATCTGCCAGATACAAACAAAAATTGATATGTAGCTTAAATAAAACAAAAAGAATTTTGTGGCTAAAATCTTACCAAAATTACTTTTTAGTAAAATAAATAAATTTTTGTATTGACAACAGGAGAAATTGTATAGCAACTAATAAATTAATGGTGTTAAAGTAAGTTATTTATTTACTTACTTATTACAAATTTACTAAATATATGTGACCTAATTATCTTAAATCAAATTTCATAAATAGTTCAAAATTCATTTCTTATTATTACATTTACTTTATTTACCACAGAATTTATTANTTAATTTGGGTGTTATGTTGTTTTTAGTGTATTGTGTCAGCCTGCCTAATTGCTGTCTAATGTCATTTATTTGTGTTTCTATTCTTCTCTGCCAGGCAGGTTTATGATAGAATTGTGTTTTGTTTGTGTCTGTCTGTGAGTGTATTTTCAGTCCATGGTGTGTTACTACTGTGACTGCCCCAGCATAAACTAATGTATGAATGTCTGAGAGTGTAGAAATTGAATGAATGTAGTTTGGTAGTAAGTGAGTGTTTACATAATCTAGTGTTTTTCCTTCTGCCTTTGATGTGTTGATTTTTGGTATTCGTGGTCTTTGTGTGGGATCTGTACCAGTATATTTAGTGAGTTTATTTTCCTGAAATTTAAGTGAGAGCATATTAACTAATTCTGTGTCTATGTTATCAGTAATGGATGAGGAAATGCCTGTAGTATCATTAGTGTTAGTTGTTGTTTGTGTGCTATTATCAATGCTTGTTGCTGTATTATCCTGACAGGTTACGTGATCTTCATTAATGTTAAATGTTTCTGTCTGTTGATGTATTTGATCAGCATCCTGTTGTTTGATAAGTTCAAGTGTTGTTTGTGGGATAAGGTTGTTGTGTATAATTGTTCTTTTTTTGATCAACAACCCTTTGTTTGGTGACAGTGAGGTGAGGATATTGTTGTGTAAATCTATGGTGTAGGTGTTGTCTGTATGCTGTCATGTTTGTTTCGAGTTTTGTGATTGCATAGTAAGTACGGATGATAAACTTGTTCATTTCTGTTGTCCATTTCATCCATTGGCGTGGTTTTCCAGCCTTTGTGGTCTGTGGATGCATTGCCACAGAAACACCAAGGCTAGGTTGATTCCTCACATCTGTTGAGGGCATTGCAGTAGCCATTCTTGGGCCAATGCTGCTTTTGCCACTGGTAATCAAGGGAGACTGTGGCCTATTTTTCGAATGTGAGCCTCTGCCTAACCCACGAACGCGGACCTTATTAACCTGGGTGACGTCCAAGCCGGTATCACGCTTTGATCTGGTTACTACCATAATGATTATCTCCACAGAATGTGGGTGTGGTCAATCTTAGCTTCATTTCTCCCCATATACCTTACTGGCATGGGTGTCCCTGCCAAGAGCTTGTGCTCCAGCCTGCATTGATCTGTGGTTCAGTAAAATTACTGGGCTCTCCCACCATGACCGGGTGGTGACCACGGGAGAGTTATTATTATTATTATTAAGTTATTTTAGATTATTTCAAAAATTTTAAATTAAGTTTCACTTTTTTAATTCTTTTAACTAAAAAAAAAATTACTTATTTATTCATATATCATTTTTTCTCTTAATTAATTGTATAACTGACTGTAATATGCTGTATGGAGCCAAAATTTTATAATGTTTTTCAATTACAATTTACAAAATTTTGATTTTAATTTGTTAAATAATTTCTCTATGAATAACTAATCATATTATTATGACCAGGTAACATATAGTTTCAAGTACTTACTGTGGTATAATCAACTCCAATTAATTCAGTATCATTTACAGCCAATATCATATGTCCTACACATAAACCAGCCTAAAAATTATATGAAATTTTAAAAATTTATTATTGTACACAATAATTATTGTCATTAATACATACAATAGCTTTAATTAACAATAATTTAAAAATAAAATATTTATATTAACATTTTGAATATAACTATATTTCTGACCTATATTTCTGATCATGAAATCTGACCATAGTAAGTAGTAAAATATTACTACTTACTATGGTCAGATTTCATGATCAAACAATGTTATAAGTTTTAATACAGCATTTTTTAATTCTGAAATCTGATCCATATAGTCATTTTGACTACAAATCTGATAAAAGAAAGTTTCTATTAAAAATTATTAAAATAAATTTATTCTTTAATAAATCATCAACAAAAATAATATGCAAAATTGACACCACATTAATAAAGCAGAGAATCACACCTAAACAAAATTTCCAGCAAAGATTCTTTGCTGGAAATTTTGCATTTAGGTGTGATTCTCTGCATGTAGAGTTCCAGTTTACTTGTATAGTTGTTGTTTTTATATTAATAAAGATAACTTAACTGCTTACTTCAGGAAATCAAAATAAGTTTTTATTAAAAAAATGTTTTTTATTCTCTTATGACAACTTTTACAGCTCAATTTTTGAAATTGGGTATCTTTCTACCAGAATGGACGAATGACACTTTTTAAATACAGAAACAAGTTTGTTTAAGCATCCTACCTTCCACTCAAATCCTCAGATGCTGAGGTAGTGATGTTCTGCTGTTGTCTACCAGAGGAAGCAAGATCCAGGACCAAGAAGAAGCTATCTGCTATGTTGTAGGACATATACAGGTATCCCTCATACAACCTGGCACTTCTAGAACACATTTTCCAGTTTCACTCTAACACAATTCGAGAATTTTGGAAAACCTCTGTACAAAACTTCACAACTTTTAAATATAAACTTTGTTACTCAATATTTTTTTATTTAAGTAAGTATGTGTGTTATCTCAAATTTGACCAATGGGTTTTAGAATATGAAATTTTCAATTTGTTTTGTGCCTTTTGTCAGGTCTAATGAAAACTGATAGGACAAAGAAGAAAAAAAAAATTGTACCAACTTTCTTATCAACCAGGTGTTGTAGTTGCTTTCAGACTTCAGCCCTTACAACTGTCACCGTGTTTTGTTATTATAGATTAAATAAACTACTAAATACAAAGATTAAACATTTTTAAATAAGTGTCATTAACCTTTTTTTAACACTTACCTAAAAATGACAAACAAAATACAGCGGTATCTCTAAAGGTCAATTATCTGTAATTTCAATTTTATGTGTATGATGTGGCAGTGCATTTTAATAGTCTTCAGATTCCAAGTGTGAGATTAACCTGCCAAAAACATACAAGATGGAGGATATCAGTCAAGCACTAGAGTGTTACTTTTGTATAGTTAGCAAAATTAAAGGTTATATATTTAGTGTTAGTGTAAATCTTGTGTGTTGTGATTGAGAAATGTACAATCTTGGTACTCAAACGGTTTCCAACTCTAACAATTTGATATTCAAACACAAATTCTGGGAAAAATATTGTTCAGTCTTTAATTGAACAAACACAATCCTCTAGAACACACTTTTGATCAATATTTTTAGTTTTATTTCACAAGACATAAAAAATTTTTATGGTAAAAATAAAATATGATGATGTTGCTGATAATTCTGATCAAGAACAACAAAAAAGCTCAGAAGATGACAATACTTTCAAAAAAGAAAAAACACTGATTTAACTAAAATTAATATTAACACATAATATATTTTAATTGTGATTGTTAGTTAATTATTGGTTGCT